AATTTGAAATAAATGCAGTTCTACTTTGGTCTATATTGCAAGAAATTGCTGAATATCTACATAATAAAGTTGAAGGACTATCAGAAAACATTTTAAAAGAAATAATAAAAAAATGTTTAATAGATTATCAAGATCAATCATTGAACAATTCGAAGATAAACATTGATAATTTAGTTTCACAACTTGTGGATATTTTTAAATACCAAGCAGGTTTACTCAATGAATTTGGTCATAATAGTTTTCGATTTATACATCGAACATTTCAAGAATATCTGGCAGCTAAAAGTATTATCTATTCTTATGGTAGAGAAAGATCTGAAGATGTGATTTATGAAAATATTCGAAACAAAATTGGTATTCCCAATTGGAGAGTTCCTCTTAGTATGACATTTGGAATATTAAGTCAATCTGCTGAACATAATGAATTATTTAATAATATCATTATAAGATTGTTAAAAGATGAAGAAACTTCATCTAATACACAATCTTCTACACTTCTAGTACCATTTGTCATTATTGATTCATTAAATGATATGTATTTTTTATCAATAGAAATAGAATATAGATTGATTCGAAAATTAGCTGATATGTTATTATTTGATTATAAAAATATGTCTGGTTTCTCTAGATTAAAAGAACATCAAGAATTGATTCAATCATATTTCATGAAACTAAAAAATAAATATGATAATAAAATTGCAGAATGGTTTATTGAAAAAATAAATCATGAAGAAAATATTGCTGCATGCGCCAATATTATTTATCAACTTAAATGGTATAATCCAATATTTCATGAAATATTTCTAAAAAATTTACACAATGATTCTATGATTTGGAATTGGCCGATTGATTCAATTTTACAATTTTATTCAAATGAAATTAAAGATGAAAAAGTTTTGATTCAATTAAAATTCAAAGACATAATAAATAAAAATTCAAAACTAATGAATTATATTGAAAAGAATGAAGCTTGGTTATCTTTAATTACAGCTCTTTATGGAGGATACAAAATTTATAGTACTCCAACAACAATATCAGAATATTATGAAATCGCTCAATTTCTTAATTTAAGTGATAATCAGAGAACTCCATTTACCTTTTATTATCAAGAAGTGTGGGGTAGAGATGATCCAGCCTATAGGATGGCTGTTCATCTTGATACTGTTGTTCCTAAACATCATTGGAATGAAAAACCAATGTTTAACAAGAACGAAATCTATAAAGAATCGTCGTTGACAACTAAGATTCTAGAACTACTCAATGAAGAAAAATCTACAACAGACTTAAAAGAAGAATTAAGAAAGCAAGTTGCTACTAAAAATTTAAGTGCAAGTGAAAAAATAGATGCATCCATCGCACTAATCGTTCTAGGAGATTTTGATTTCATAAATGCTGTTATAGCAGAAGGAGAAAAAACATTCATAAAATATTTCAGAAATAGAATACAACAACTTATTGATGTATTGAAAGATCCAGTTGCAAGATGCTCCTCACATATTGCCAAATATTTACTAAAAATTTATAATGATATGAAAGTGAATCAGTTGAAATATAATATTAGTTTTTTAAATTATTGTACAATATATTTATTCTTAATAGCCAGCAGTGGAGGATTACCAATTGATACTAAGATATTAGCTGAAGAAATGAATCATATTGAAGATCAATACAGTTTATATGCAGAATATTTTGCCTCTCAGATTACTGGTGCTTTCGATAGTTTCGAAGACAAAATCACTGATTTATTGCAGAAATGCATTTTATCAAGTAAAGTTGATCAAATCATGAAATCATTTTTAAAAATCAATGATGCAGTTCAAATTTATAGACCAGTTCGAGCATATCCATGGGTCACAGACGTATTTACTTTCAAATCAAACAATGAAAATGATATACCAATAACATTTTTCGATTGTTTGGAAAATATCAGTACAAATATACCATATCTAATAGATAGCATTTTTGAGATTTTCTTTAAAGAAGGATATTTTAATAAAACACCTGAATTAATTTCATTAGTTGTCTTATTATATTTTGGAATCATGTCAAAAGACTTAGATAGATTTAAGATCTACGAGAAAATACTACCTGAATTAGCTGAAAAGTCCGATCCAAAAAGTTTTCTATTTGAAAAAACTCAATCAATTAGTAATTCATACTATAAATCGAGAGCATTATATCAATTAGCTGAGTTTTATGATGAAAGAAGTTATGAATTGTTAAATGAATCTTTTACATTAACAAAAAAATGTTCAACAGGCAACTTTGAAGTTTCAAATTTTGGAAAAGATTTTTTGTATTGTTCACTATAAGGAAGTGGAAAGCAAACAATTTATTCAGCAAATAATCGACGAGTTAGTTTTAACATTTGACAATATTGATGACCTTTATAATCGAATTATTGCATCGATAAGATTATCATTTTATGGTACAGGAGAATTTCGAAAAAAGTATTTAATAAATGCTATAGAAACTCTTATAAAAATGGATGAAGATGATGATAAAATCAAATTAATCATTAAATTAAAACCATTAATTAGTATTTACGATGATCTTCAAATTAAGTTCAATGAAATTATAGAAAATCTTAAAAATAAAATACATTATTATTTTGTCAATTTTTATTATGGAAGAATATTATTTACTGAGAAATTGCATATTCATTCTTCAGACTCAAATTCAGACATAAATCAAAATCTTGAAAATGAAAATAATAACAAAGAATTAGTAGATGCTTCAAATTATATCGAATTTCAAACTTTACTCTTACTATTTGCACAATTGAACGACACAAAATTAATAATTGATAAAACAGAAAATACAAATCAATTATGGATTAATCTTTTTAAAGATACTGATAATCAATCAAATATTGAAAAAATATTAAATGTTGCTTTACGCGATGAAGTATTTTTAACACCACAAGTAGCCATTATTATTGATGAATTGATACAAAATGGAAAAGAGGATACTATTTCAATTCTTTTTCCATATATTATTAAACCATCAAATGAAGTGTTGCCAATTATACAGAGATGGTTTACTCAATATGATGATAACAGACCAATCAAAAAGTTATCAGCCCTTTTACTTGCAGAAGCAAAACATATTTTTGCATCGGCAGTTGATATAATTGTTGGTCTACTAAAAAGTGACAATGATCAAATGAGATATAGAGCTGAACGAATTTTTCAACATCCAGAAAGAGATGTCAAACAACCTAGTAAGAGAATATCTATAATAGGAGAGAAAACATTAATAAAAATATTTGATCATATACTGGTAAAAGAGCATCCTCCACGTATTTTGGCTTATATTCATAGTTTTTTCTATGATCTACTATGGGATGATCCTCGAGTTTTTCGACACTTATATGAAAATACAAATCAATTGCGAGAGAGAAACTCTATCAATGGAAGAAAAATACAGTTTTTAAATCGAATTCATTTTATAAATGATCATACTTGGCATTCAATAATGCAAACATTAGAAACATCGATAAATCCATCGTCTGCCATAGCACTACTTTATTCAACGATGACATTAACACAGCATAGTCAAATTACACACGATAATTGGATCGAATTGGCAAGAATACTATCAATTATAGATACGAGTCAATTGAAAGATAAATTATTTTTTATACACATTGATACAGAAAGAATTGAATTTATCATTGACAATATTTGTGCATTAACAGAAGTTTGTGATGAAACATATTTTGAAATTCTTGAATCAAAACTAATTAGTGAAATATCCGTCAACATTGAAAGTCTCTCACAAAATACTTACGATGAAATTAAACATATAGGTCGTTGCAATTTTTATGTTTCAAATGATTTAAATGAAACGATATTGGCTATGTTTAATAATATTTCAATAAACATAGTTCTCATGGAAAATTTAATCAGATGGTTATTGAATAAAATGAAAAGTTTTAAAGGTTTAGATGATACATGGTTTTCATTAATGATATGTGATAACTTACTATGTTTAGTCTCTGTCTGTGTTCAAAAAGAAGATTATTTGTATAGAAAAATAACAAATTCTTCAAATTTTAATAAAATTGAAATGATAACACTCTTGGAAAAAATGCTTAATTATCATCCATGTTTTACTGCAAGAGGTAATGCTTTCATATTATTAGCAGGAATGGACCAACCTGATCATAAAGTAATCGTAAATGCCATGAACACATTACTTGATGAAAATTTAGTGAAAAAATATTCAATAATTGGAATGCCTCTAATACATTTATCATCAAATGAATTTATCGATGATTTACTTGAATCATTAAAAAATGACAGTGCTATAAAAACTTATGAAATTTTAAAAATATTCACAGAATTCGTTTTAAATGAAAAACTAGATGCAAACGGTAAATCGAAGATTATTAATTATTTAGCAAATGAAATTGGACAATTAAAATCAAAGAAGCCTGTTAATTATTATTATACAGATATAAAAATTCCTTTCACAACAACATTGGAAAATGAATTATATAAAGCATGGATTAAAGTACAAGGACTCTCTGGAAAAACACACTATTCTATTAATATTCAAGCAAAAAAATAATAGTGTTTAAATTCAAAGGATGATCTATCGTTGAACTTATAAATATTTAATAGTTTTTCTTTATTATATATTAATTAATTGAGAAAAATAATATCACATATTTTTGGTATAAAATAAGTCTATTTATTGTTTTTATTATTCTATATAGAAATTTACTTGCTATAGCATTAATCAGATAACTTTGTATCCGTTCATATTAGTGTAGAATTTTATTTAGATATTTAACACACTCGATATGATTCAGTATTCTTAGAAAACTTCTTCGAGATATTCATTTCTGTCGAAAATTAACTTATAATAAATGCGCTTAGTGACCTTTCTATTATCTTCTACCGATTATTCGGATTGGTGAAAGTTGAGCACAAGGATATATGAGCACGGAAAGTTAAGCACCGGAAAGTTGAGCACGAAAATGGAAATTAATTTCGACATGGCATTAATAGGCAGACGAATGCTGAGTGTAGGTGTAGGTGGGGAAAGGAGTGTAGAGAGGGTAGGTACAAGTGAGTGCAGGTGAGGATGTGTAAGTGGGTACCGGTGGAATGGACAGTTGAGTAGAGGTAGACATGTGCGGGTCGGTGAGGTAGCCGAGTGGTTATGAATATGTGTCGATGGACGGGTTATATGGATGTGAATAGGGATCAAGTTGTTATATACACCTTGCGAGCTCATGGCCATCTATCCCATTCACACCCACACTCACTTGCATCTACACCAACTCAACTTCACAAACAGTCACCCATTCTACATCTACGCTCAGCATTCGTCTGCCCCGAAGGGGAAACAGCAGGGATTTCAGTTGTGAAATCTTGAAAGTGTGTTGAAGTCCTATAAAATTTCTTAAAATCTTTAGAAATTTCTTAAAACTTTTTGAAGTCTCGTAAAGCCTTTTGAAGTTTTGCAAAGTCTTGAAGTCTGTGGTTTTTTTCCTGATTGTGAAATCTCTTGTAGTCTCATGAAATCATTTGAAGTCTTTGGAAGTCCGATGCAGTCTCATGAAGTCTTATGAAGTTCCATGAAGCCTTTGGGAGTCTCTTGAAGTTCCGAAAAATCCTTTGAAGTTCTTAAAAGTCTTTTAAAGTCTTTCGAAATCTTCCATAAATTTGAAGTTTCTGATGTTCAAATCTCTTGAAATCTTCTGAAGTCTCGTGAAGTCTTGAAATCTTAAAATCAGCATTGTTCCCCCCTCGGGCTGCCCATTATCACCATGTCTAAAGTAATTTCCTTTTTCGTGCTCAACTTTCCGGTTCCCGAGAAGAGGGTGTGGGTGTGGGTTATCTATTCTTCAATATTTGCGCCGACACCCACATCCTCAGATGTTTACACGAGTAAAGTTTCAGCTAAAAAAGAATTGAAAAGTACATCGGTAACAACATCATGAACTTTTCGAAGATCGTTATAATCCACTGATCTCATACTAATGAATTGAATATTCTCTCAAAAATGCTTAATCACTTGAAGGATCACTCTCAGAAAGTAAATAGTAGCAGTTTTGAATATTCGTTGTAAATATTTCTCTAACATTAGAAAACTAAGTAGTTCATTTCTTGAAAACGTGAGGAAACCATTGAAATTTGGGTGTGGGTGTGGGTGTGGGTGTGTGGGTGTGGGTGTGGGTGTGGGTGTGGGTGTGGGTGTG